ACGGCACTAGTTACCAGTTGCCATCCTGTAAAAGACCCGTTTATCCCCATTGTCTGCCTTCTGCCAGTCAGCAAATACTCGATCCATGCCAGTACCTTGCCCCTAACACCATGAGACCTTTGATGAAAATAGAAATTGCTAGGAAAGCTCAGCAAGTCTGGCACATCCATGGACAGAAATCAGAATTAACATTTCGGATTGAGCGATCTCCCTCAGAACTGAATTCTGATTTCTCTCGACAGATACTGCCAGACCTGCTGAACTTTTCCAGCAATTTCTGTTTTTGTCTCTGATTTACAGCATCTACAGTTCTTTCAGTTTTTACTTACCACGAGCTCTTATCTTATTTAGCAACCTCCTGGGCGGCACCTTGTCAAAGGCCTTGGGGAAATCCAAATGGATCACATCCACTGGCTCTGCTTTGTTTAACTTATTCATTACCTCCTCAAAGAATTCTACCAGAAGTTATCAGGCATGACCTCTCCTTAATGAAGCCGTGTTGACTCACCACTATTTAACCATGCACTTCTGAGTATTCCACAATCTCATCCTTAATAATGGACTCTAAAATCTTATCAATGATTTAGGTCAGGCTAACCAGCCCGTAATTTCTAGTCTCTGCTTCCCGACTTTCTTAAACAGGGGGTGTTACATTTGCCATTTTCCAGTCCTCAGGGTACCTCCCAGACTCCAGTGAATCGTAAAAGATCACCATCAATGCCTCTACAATATCCTCAGCTATCTCCTTCAGAACACTGGGGTTTAGTCCATTCGGTCCATATGATTTATCCACCTTCAGACCTTTCAGCTTCTCAGCACCTTTGCCTTGGTGATGGCCATTACATTCACCTCCACCTCTGCTCCATGACTTCACTGATGTATGCTACTGGTGTCTTCCACTGTGAAGATTGATGCAAAGTACCTATTTAGTTTCTCTGCCATTTCCTTGTTCCCATTATGACTTGTCCAACCTCATTTTCCAGTGGTCCAGTTTCCATTCCTGCCTCTCTTTCCTTTTATATATCTAAAATATCTGTTGCAATCATCTTTTATATTACTAGCTAGCTTTCCCTCATATTTCCTCTTCTTCCCCGTTACTGCTTTTTTACTTGTTCTCTGCTGGCTTTCTAATGCTCTGGCTTCTCAGTAATCTTCACCACACTGTATGCTTTTTCTTTTGCTTTTATGCTGTTGTTGACATCCCATGTTTGTCTTGTCCTCCTCCTTATTTTGTTTCTTCTTCCTTGGGAAGAATTTCTGTGCCTCCTGAATTACCCCCAGAAACTCCTGCCATTGCTACTCCACCGTCTTCCCTGCTAGGCTCCCCTTCCAATCGACTCTGGCCAGCTCCTTGCTCAATTATAATACTGTTACATCTGATTCCAGCTTCTCCCTCTCAAACTGTCGGACAAATTGTATTGTATTATGGCCACTGACCCCGTGTGGTTCCTTTGCCTTGAGCTCCCTAATCAAATCTCCCCATTACACATCACTAAATCCATAATTGTCTGATCCCTAGTCATCTCTACCATAAGCTGCTCCAAAAAAAATCTCGTCAATATTCCAAGAATTCCTTTTGTTATGGACCAGACCAAACCTCCTCAAAATATATTAAGAAGGTAGCCTAGACCATAACTTTTATCATATTTAAAGGCAAAGGTAAGGTGCTGCATTCCAAATGTGATTCGATTGGTCGAACTATTATGCTTTAAGCAAAACACACTTTATCCTTACACCACAGTTAAAATACAAACAAAAAAAAGCAATTGGCATAACTCTAACTCGATCGAAATACTTTACAAAATAATATATTATTTAACTACTACTCGTCAACTGTTCCAATACAGCAGTATCCCATAAATACATCCATGGTAAAGGCAAATTCTGCAAAACAGATTTCCCTCACTTGATATCTCGAGTCCAGAAGGAAAACCGACAGAAGGACTCGAGCAGCAGAGAAACAGCTCCAGCTTTTTGTAGCATCAGAGAGAGAGAGCTGTATCCAGCAACTCCAAAACCCCAAAATCAACAACTGAAATCAAAACTAAAACCCTGGGTCTGAGAAATCCAACTCCATCCACTTAATGATTCTTTTGTCTAACTTAAAAAAAGGCACATCTTGTCACAACCTGATCTTCCCAGTCCACCTGCATATTGAAGTGTTCATGATTATTGTAATAGTGCCTTTCTTACATGCCTTTTAAACCTCATGATTTACTTTTTGCCTCACATCCTGCCTACTGCTAGGAGCCCTATAGACAAGTCTTTTTTTTAAACTTTCCTCCACTCTACCCACACAGATTCAACGTCTACTGACACTATATTGGTTCTTTAAAAGTGAGTGGTCAAGGTATATTTTCAAAAGACTTATGGGATCGCGGCCTTTATATGCAGGGATACACAGTACAAAAGAAAGCAATGTAAATTTTACACAAATCAGATGGTAAGCATGCAATATATTGTATCTATTCTTGAGCATCTTGCTTAATGAAGAATATTACAACATTGGACAAGGTGCATTAGAGATTCATTGCATAATTCTAAGATGGAAAATTTTAGAATGAAGAGAGTCTGGAGAAACTGGAGCACATTAGAACAACAAACCTTGAGAAGATCTAATACACACAATCAAAATTTTGAGTTTTGATTAAGTAAATTGGAACTGAAGCTGTTAGAGCATTGGTGATTTTAACAATATGACCATAAGAGTAAACGAAGTTTGCATACTTTTTAAGCAGAAACTTATCAGTATGTGGAATATGGAATACTCTAACAGAAACATGATGGAAAAGAATCCATAATATTTTTTCAACGTGCAATTACAAGCCGGGTGAAAAATAAACATCTTATGGGAAAGGCGAGAAGAATGGGACTAAATGCATTACGCTTTGAGAAACGGACAATGAATGTGAAAGGCCAAAAGGCTCTCTTCTGTGCTTTAAAATTCGAAGATTTTTCTATGATTAGAGCAAGGAATTTGATTTTAACCTATTAATTATTAAGGCATGCTGTACTGCATTATTAACTTCCAACACCGCCTACTTCCTCAAATCAATGTTTGAAATTATTAATCATGTCTCTATAGTATGCATTTTGAAACGAACTATCCATTTACTGAACATATATTTGGAAATGCTTATAAACACATTGGTACAAGAAGAAAAGTCTGAGACATGTTATAAAATAACAGTTATCCTATAAGATGATTACTTAAAATGATTAAGGGGAAAAAAGAACACACAATGAAATTCATGCAAACACTGCACTGACGATTACCTGGTGGAATCTTTTAAGGTGAAGATTTAATATAGGTGGGATGGCAGAGATCAACATTTGTTTACGAGCATTTGTGTACATATGTTCTGATTTCTTCTCTATTAAAACAAAATATCATTAAACAAAGTCAAATGTGAGAAAAACTTAAACCTGAGGAAACAAACTGTATTCTTTTCAGATAGCTGAACAGTTAAGGATTTAGTGGAACATAAGAAATCAGAGCAGGAGTACACCTTTCAGCCGTTTGAGTCTGCTCTGTCATTCAATGCGGTCATAGCTGATTTTATACTTCAACAACACTTTCCTGCACTATTCCTGTATCTCTTGATGTTTTTAAAAGATGCAGTATAATTTGGATAAAGATGAGGTTATTCACTGCGGAAGCAAAAACAAGAAGGCAAATTACTACCTGAATGGCTGTAAATTGGGAGAAGGGAGTGTGCAGCGGCACCGGGGCATCCTTGTGCACCAGTCGCTGAAGGTAAATATGCAGGTGCAGCAGGCGGTAAAGAAGGCAAGTGGTATGTTGGCCTTCATTGCGAAAGGTTTGAGTACAGGGGCAGGGATGGGTTGTTGCAGTTGTACAGGGCCTTGGTGAGACCACACCTGGAATACTGTGTGCAATTTTGGTATTCTTTTCTGAAGAAGGATGCTCTTGTTCTCGAGGGAGTGCAGCGAAGGTTTACCAGGCTGATTCTGGGGATGGCAGGTCTGTATGAGGAGGGATTGACTAGCTTAGGATTGTTTTCGCTACAGTTCAGATGAATGAGGGGGGATCTCGTACAGAGTTATAAAATTCTAACAGGACTGGACAGGGTAGATGCAGGGAGGATATTCCCAATGGTGGGTGTCCAGAACCAGGGGTCACAGTATGAGAATTCGGGCTAGACCATTTGGGATGAGATGAGGAGACATTTCTTCACCCAAAGAGTGGTGAGCCTTTGGCATTCATTACCACAGAAAGTAGTTGATGCCAGAACATTGAATGTATTCAAGAGGTGACTAGATATAGCATTTGGGGTGAATGGGATCAAAGGTTATGGGGAGAAAGCAGGATTAGGCTACTGATTTGGACAATCAGCCATGATCGTGAAGAATGGCAGAGCAGGCTCGAAGGGCTGAATGGCATCTTCTTGCTCCTATCTTCTATGTTTCTATGTAAGAATATTCTATCAATTCGAGTAATGGAAATATTCAATGACTGAGCCTCCCAAGCCCTTGAACAAATAATTCCAAAAACTGATCATCTTCTGAATAAATAAATTTGTCCTCTTCGGAATTCTAAATGGCCTGCTTCTTATTCTAAAGTAGTGGCCCTTGGTTCTAAGCATCCTTACTCTGACTAGGAGAAAAATCATTCATGCATCTATTCTGTTGAGCCCTTAAGTAATTCAGTATATTTGAAGGAAATCACTTTTCATTTTTCATTCATCTAGATTCCAGAAAATAAATACCCAGTCTATTTAATATTTCCTCACATGATAAATCCTCCACATCAGGAATATCCTTGATGAACCTTTATTGCATTCCCTCTATGGCACGTATATCTTTGTGTAGGCAAGGAGACCAAAACTGCACACAATGCTCCTGGAGTGCAGAGGCAATGTCCAAGTATATTTTATATCAATCACTTAGCTTTAGCAATTAAATTATAAGATATACGTTTTTACATATATCCTTCAACATTTTCCCCTCTTTTGTCACCTCACAATATTATGGAAAAGGAGCTTTCCGGCTTGGCCATGGGGAGATTTGAAGATGATGGAAGAGGAGAAAGCGATAAAGGATCCACAGTTGGCTAAGTAATAGTTCCAGGAAATGTGCAAATTCAGCTTAACACTTCTGTCTTAGAAAAAAGATGGACCTCAATACTTGGACAATCAGATGGTGGAAATGCATTTACCAATATATCTTCATGAACCACTTTGTCTATTATTTGACGTTTGTCATTGACATAATTAAAAAACATCAGGTTTATTTTTATTTGCTATTTTTCTTTATCTTTAATTAATCTTTATTTTTAAATACAAAAAGATAAACAACTTTGAAAGCACAAGCTGAGAGCAATAAACATAACTTTAAAATGTGTATGAAAAGAATCAAAACAAATTAATTTGGTTCTGGTGAAGCATTGTAAACAACATTGCTCAGTCCTTTGAGTATAAGAGTTGGGAAGTTATGTTGAGGTTGTACAGGATATTAGTGAGGCCTCTTCTGGAGTACTGCATCCAGTTCTGATCACCCAGTTAAAAGAAGGATATTATTAAGCTGGAGGGGGTTCAGAAGAGAGTTACCAGGATGTTGCCAGGAATGGAAGGTTTGAGTTATAAAGAAAGGCTGGATAGGCTAGGGCTTTTCCCACTGGAGCTTAACAGGTTGAGAGGTGATATGATGGAAGTTTATAAAATCATGAGGGGTATAGATAGTGTTAATGGTAAGTGTCTTTTCCCCAGGATGAGGGATTTCAAGACGAGGGGACACATTTTTAAGGTGAGGGGGCAGAGATTTTAAAAAAAAGACATAAAGGGCAGACTTTTTACACAGAAAATGGTTCGCATGTGGAATGAACTTCCTGAGGAAGTGGTGGATGTAGGCACATTTACAATGTTTCAAAGACATTTGGATAAGTACATGAATAGGAAAGGTTTGGAGGGATAATGGCCAGCAGCAGGCAGGCGAGACTAGTTTAATTTGGGATTATGTTCAGCATGGACTGTTTGGACCAAAGGGTCTGTTTCTGTTCAGTATGACTCTATGACTCTCGAACAGTATTTCAATAGAGAACCAATGGAACAGACTTAAAGATATAATGCTCAGCATGCAGGATAAATACGTACTTATGATCAGCAAGTAGACACTAAATAAACATAGCCACAAATTGGATTAATTTCACTTCTTATTACTTTATTAATGAGGAAATAATGATTGGTGCAAGCAGCAAGGTTCAGTGACGAACACAGACACCTACAGCAGACGCTGAAACATGTTAAGAATGTGGTCAAAGTGACAAAGAGAGACAATAAAGTTTTTTTAATTGTATGCTAACAGTAAGCATACAGTCAGAAAAGAGGAAATAACCATGAAAGAAGAGAAAGGAATTGAAGTAGCAGATGAATGTATCAAAGTGAATGTTCAAACAATTGTTTTTTTTCCAAGTCTTTACAAAATAAGACATGTGGCATGCCTTTTCTAAGAAGCAAAAGCCCAGGCTGAATTAGGAATTTGGACTTTCAAAAGTGAGAGAATATTGAAGTACAAAAAAGTTCAACATCCAACAACAGAAAATGTATGCTTGAGTTCCAAGAAAGACACGGAAAGAGTTTGATGAGATATTATGATCAATACAAAGGAGTTATTGGAGGATTTACTGTAGATTGGAAACAATTCAGTGCAATGTTTATTTGCATAAAGGAATTCAAAACAGCATCTTTATATGCACAAACAGATGTGGGTGTGATATTTTTAAAGAAAGTTATGTTTTTATTTCACATTGAGTTGTTTGTTTACATGCTTATGAAGCACTTTTGGATCAGGTGTTAAAATGATGTCTGTCTCCTCAAGTGGATATAAAATAGAGATGTGGGATAATTTTAAAAAAAATCAGGGGAGTTTCCCTGTTGTTCTGGCTGATATTTATTCTTCAAACAACATCACAAAACAGATCCTGCATGCTGAGCATTAGTGGAGTCAGATACTTTACAGATTTTTAAGCAACTCTTGGATAGGCACATGGAGGATAGTAAAATGTAGGGTATGCAGGGTAGTTGATCTTAGTAGGATGACAGGTTGGCACAACATCGTGGGCCGAAGGGCCTGTACTGTGCTGTACTGTTCTATGTTCCATTATCTGGGCACTATCACATTGCAGTTTGTGGGAGCCTGCTGTGCAGAAATAGGCTGCCATCTTTTTTCCATGATAACATTTCAAAAGCACTTCATGTGTTGTAAAATGTTTTGGGACACCCTGAGGTCATGAATGGTGCTAAATAAATGCAAATTATCATTTTAAAATATGACTGTGAATAAATACCACTGAATATCCTGTACAACTTTGAGTTTGACACAACTCATAGGAAGATTCTGATGATATTAAGAGGGTCGCTAAAAATGGGTATGAATATAATTTCTAGTTTTTACTTCCACTAATTTTCATAGTTTTTTTTAACACAATCTCTCCACCATGGGTGTAACGTAGCCACTATGTTTCCCCTAAGCTGCTGCTGGAGGGTCCATGCATGGTGATCGTCATTCAGGCGTGTCAACTTCCTGTTCCAGAAGTCACTGCCATGCACAGACCTCAGAACCAAAAACAAATGGAACATAGGCCACAGCGTGTTCTATCTAGAGGAGGCACTGAACAATTCACTAAGGCTTTTTTGACAGCATCTCCCATATCTGTGGCATAATCAAATAGAAAGTCAAAGGCATCAGCTGTATGGGAACTCATCAGTTCCCAAGTTTCCCTTAAAGAGCCTCTCCAAGGCACACATTATCTTTGAACACAGTCCTTTCTTGTTATGGAATTTAAATCTCAGAACTCCTTACCTGACAGCTCTGTGGAAGTATGTTCACCACAGACCTTTTAGCAGTTCAAGGGGTGCTCCCAACACCATTTTTTCCAAAGGAAACTTAATGGACAATAAATGCTGGCCTTATCAGCACTATTAATTTCAGATTATCTATATTTTAAAAAAAACTAGCTGACTAATTTAGTAAAGTGCTATTTGCAACCCGATATTTGCCTGTGTCCTCATCACTCCATAAGTATAGCGCAATATATATTCTTCAATGGTCATCGATTATCAACTGAAATTTTAAAGTGGTTCCGACAACTTTACTATACCCACCTGCTGAATGTGATTTCTTGTGTTGTTTCTGCCTTTTCTCTGTGCACTTTTCACATAACAGTTTGTTATTACCCATGAGGAGATCCACAGATGTAAAGTGGCTGAGACAGGACTGGAGTGAGCATTCTTTGGATCTTGGTTCATAGTTCTGGGACAATGTTTGAAATGCTGCAATCGTTTTCTTTGAAACTACTGATCTTTCTTTTGAGTCTTCAATGCAGAATGAAACATAGTCTGTCTGTTCCTCATAAACAGTATCGATTATTAGACTTTCATTTTTGGTACTGCCAAGGTTGAGTTTTGTTATTGCACTGGAAATAGAATCATTACAATTAAACTCCACTTGTTTAGTTTGAACTAAATCACTGTTCGACAGCTTGTGGTTGATAGTTGTCAAATCAAAATTGGGGTTGGTGTGAAAACTTAGGGACTCAACAGATTTTGAAGGATTCTCAGATTCTGAGGCTTCACTATCTGCATCATTGCTTCCATCTGACTGATTTCCATCTTTATCACTACCTTCTGACTGACTAAGGTTACTGATTTCTCCTAGACTAGAGCAACAAAGTGTCCGGTTACTCTCCTCTCGGTGTCCATTACTTTGCTCTGCAGAAACTCGACAATTCCCCTCATCATCATCAGCTGTTGATTTCTTCATTTCCTTCATCCTTTGTTTGCTTGCATGGCACTGCTAAAGTATATTAAAGATATATTAGCTTATTATTACCCTGGAGAAATTTTATTAGTTAGGACAGAAAGCTTGTAGGTGCTCTCCACTTATACATGTTATTATAAAGAATAGTGAAAAATCATATCTTGCATTGTTTTTTGCAATTGGTGGCCAAATTATGACTGATATGTCACACAGTAAACTAAGTCAAAGCAGTCTATTTTTGAGACAAGCGGTTAAAAATGTTATTGACTGAAACAGTCATGCATGGGTTAGTTTTAACCAGGTCTAATGATTCTGAAATAAAAATTGGCACTTCTTTATCAACATTTTAATCATTTACCTGAGAGTTTGACTTATATTTCCAATGTGTCACTGCATGGCATTCATTTTTGCTTCTAGGCCTTGGGCAAATATCTAAGCGATCATTATCAACAATGATGTATGCTAAAAATATAAGTATCAGAAACCTCACTACTTTCACAAATATATTTGGCCCTTATTTTCCAAACATTTTTGTCCTTTTTTATGTACCAATATTGGTGATTGAGAAAGAACATCCAGCTCCATTATGTACCAGTGGCTTGTCCATCATCCTGTCTTATACTGACCACAATTTCCACAAGCACAAAAAGCCTGTATGCATAAAACAAGAAAAGTCCTATTTAAAGAGCTAGACTCTCTCATGCATAAAGTTAGATCCCTGTCCAAAAAAAAGAAGGCTTCCCCACCTGCTGCAGAGTAACTGTCTTTCCTCTGCCTGAAAGAAGAAAATTTGCGAGCAGCAATAGTCAAAGGGTTTGGGCCTGAAAGTCTGAGAAAGAAGGCTTGTGTTGAGAGAGAATCTATCCAAAGGAATAGAAGCAGTTGAACTTGCTTTGCATATTCAAAGGATGGAATAGGTAAAAGCTTCCCAGGCTTAATTTAAAAAACGACCCATCACTTGCACCACAGATAAATGCAAACTAAAGATTTTCTTAGGATTCTAAAGGTGTTATGAATCTGCTTGACTGATGTTGCGACTCAAATAGTTGGGCATTTTTCAGTAGCTGAAGTGTGGAAGTAAACACATCTTATAGAATTTCCAGTGTATTCATTTAATAATTATCAAATTCTGCAGGTTGCTGATTACCCTGCTTGAATTCCTAGAGTGCACGTATGACAAATGGAACTTTGAACTGTATGAAACAATTTGTTAATTGTTCTTGTTAAGAAATGGGGAAATACAAATATTCAAAGCATCAAATTATTTAGTAGATTGCTAAATAGTATAATCTTATAGTTACAACTTATTCTCTCAATAGTAAAATCAAATACATACCGTTACTGCATATTTTGTAGATGGTGGTTTCTTAGAACTTTTTGTTTTATATC